TCATGATAAAAAGTGTCGCTCTTATTTTTGCTTTAATTTTTAATTTAATAATCCTTTTTGCTTTGATCATCCGCTTTTTTTTTGCTCTTTTAAAATTTTATTTTTATTTAACCTAATATATTATTGAAAATTTCATATTTTAATTTACTTAAAATTTTTTGATTTATTGAAAATTTTTAAAAATGCAATACAATGCTTTTTATTGAGAAATTAATAAATTTTTATGTTATAAAAATTATTTGAAATAAATTTTAATTTTCTTTTTTCTTTTTTTTTTTTAGTAAATTAAAATTTCTTGTTATAATATAATGCTCAGTTATTATATTAACAAAATACACTGATGAACAATCTAACGCAAAACAGGAATCTTAATCGATGGTTGGATCAAAAAAAAAAAAAAAAAAGAAGAAAAGTGAAAGACGACAAGTAGCTTGATGAGTGAAAAGTTATTTGAATTCTAATTACGTCAGAACCGGAAATGTCATACCACATTAAATAAGCTACAAATTGAAGTAATATTAAATTTAATGATAACAATTGTATTATTGATAAGAATGATTTGAAAAAATGTTAATTGATTTTTAAAAAAAAAAAGAAAAAATTAAAAAAGGGGACGAAAAAAGAATAAATGTTAAATTTAAGGATATGAAAAAAAAAAGAGAAAGAAAAGGTAAATATAATTAATTACAAATTAAGCATGTAAAAATTATTTTTTTTTACAACAATCACTATAATTGGGCATTAATTAATGAAATAATTGCATTAATTAGTGAAAATAATTGGAGAAAATTTGATTATGCATAAGCTTCTTTTTTTGTTGATTTATAAACATTTGCCTTTTTTTTTTTTAAAGAAAACGAAGAAGCTAAGTGAGGAGTAAAATATCAAGAATCGGAATATATTGGTACGGTATACGGTACGGATAAAGGGATATCATAATTATTCGTTATTTTAAATCCTAAAATGGAAAAAAAAAAGGTTTGAAAAAAGAGGAATTTTCTTCCTTTTTTTTTTAGTTTGACTCCTATATTTAATTACATTGAATGACGTCACCTTGCTTTATGATATTTTCCAGCTTATAAATTCAAAAATCTTTTCCTTCATAACTATCCTTATATTGATAAAAATTAAAAAAAAAAAGAACCTATCGTAAATTTTTATTCGAAAATAATTACTATTCAGTTGTTTCCACTTTTTTTTTCCAAATTTCGATTTTAGATTTAAAATCCAATTTAAGTTAATGAAGCTAATTACTGTAAGGAATATTTGTAAATTTTATAATATCCTTTTATTCAATTCTTATATTGATTTTCATGTTATTATTATTATTATAGGCTTTGAATAACTTCTAATGGATAAAAAAGGAAGTGAGGAAAAAGAAAACAAAAAAGGGATAACTTAAAATTTTAGTAAATTATTTTATAATTCGAGATCAGTTAAACTTGCCTTCATTTCTTTTTTGAGTAATTCATTATTATTCATATAAAATTACTTATTTATAACAACTATATATTGAACAGAATAGCACGAAATAAAGTGCTGTTGAAATTCGAAATGTATGCTAACAACAAAAATTAGACAGAAAAATTCCTGAAAATTGAAAGATGATAATGAATTGATTATATTCATTTCCAATTTGTGCATAATAATGTATATAATAGACTGTAGCAAAGCCATATTAACGTGAAATATTGAATTATTTGTTAAATTTCACCATTTGAATTGAAAATTTATTTGCTAATTTATAATTTTTATGATAATGAAACGAAATATTAAATTTAATTGTATTTATTTCATAATCATTTCATATTATTACATCTATCAAATTTGATCATATATGAAAGAGAAATAACTGATAAGAAATAATCAGACCATTTTTTCTTTTTTTTTAATCAATTACCCTAAATATTAATCATACAAAATTGAAAAATATATCATCTTAAACAAATGCGTCATTCCTTTTATATTCATATTATTAAATAACATATTTATCAGTTAGACTGATAATGAAATGATCTTTCGCAAAGGTTGCAATGTATACAAAGAAAAAGACAAACTTTTTTTATGACAAGTTATTTTTTTTTTTATTTCTTCTGATCACTGTAAAAACTACAGTAGGACAACTTCAAATTTTTGATTATTAGATAACATTATTTATGACCAGTCCTAGTAATTTTTGATTTATTGCTCTAAGATCAGTCATATGTAGTAAAAACTTAATTTTTTGTATCATATTATTAAATTCGCAATATTTTAATTACTTCTCTTGCAATGTTGCAATGGACCATGTAACTTTTAATGATAGACGAAATTAACAAACCTATTTTTGTACCATGGATCGTCCAATACCGTACTACAACTTATGCAATATCATGCAATGTCTGGCTACCATTTTGAATTAGAACAATGAATGAAACAAATGAAACATGTATCATCGACATTTTCATGCTTTCAAACGTATTGACTGATTTTCCGGAATAACCGGATAATTGAATTAGCAAAGTTATGTATTTTTAAAGAGAAATATACTTAATTTTATTCAGTGCCAATTTATGAAAATTATTCGACATACAGAAACTTTTTTATAACATTCTTTTTCATACAAAGTTACCATGTATATGATAGTGTTGCTAAGCCAAGCATTCATCCAGTGTAAAATAAAAGAGCAAACATAGCAATATGCTGAAATGAAAAAAAGAAAAAAAATGAACAGAAAAAAAAAACAGTAAAACAACATTTTCTGATAAAATACATTTGACACAGGGTATATAAGCTTCAATATAATTATTGTTGCAAGATGAGACTAATGCAAAGCAAAAAAGATGGCAAAGGTAGAATCCGTGATTAGAAAAAGAAAATATATAACCAAACTATTGCAAGGAAGGACTTGACATAGAGCGATCCGTTAGTTATCATACGCGAAAGAGAAATTAATTTCTGGCAAAGGACAAACGACAAATAAACGCATGATAAGGCCCAGGAATGAAGAAATAACCCAAATATATTGTCCTTTAATCTTGTCAAAATTGGAATAAAAAAATATTATTATATTAACATCCAATTTCCTTCCTACATGAAATGCTGGAGATATTTCATTGAAATCATGGAAAAAAACAGTGAAAATTTGTCTAAATCTTGCCCACAGTGATGTAAATCAACTCTACCCTAAGCATAAATGAAATTGATTTTTATTTTGAAAATGGAATCAATTTCGATGCCAATTTTTTGAGACTACATATACCATACACTAGAAAATCCTGAAATTAAACGATGAACAAAACTGTTTTATGGAAACTACCACAGCAAACAGTAATTCAGGATTCAGATCAATCATAATAAAACGAATTATTCACAAGAAATCCTGAAATTAGGAAGTTTCCATACCATATATATATATATATATATATGCACATTTTTAAAACAGCGGTAAAAAAAGAAGCAAACAAACTAAGTTAACCCGATAAGAACTAGAAAAAAAAAGGAAATAATAATGAGCGATTAATGCATGAGCAACAAACTTGAAGATGTATCTTTTCTTCCTTCTAGAAAATTCATTTTCCTCAGGAATCCCATAGAAAAAAAAATTAGTTTAGAATTCCTTAGAAAAAATTCATAATAAATCGATAAATTTATTCAGTGTTTAAAAAGCTATTACTCAGGTCATAATGCAATTATTTTTTTGTCACAAGAAGTAAAAGCAATTATATGACAAATCCCTAATTCAGAAACTTTTCAGAAGCTTCAAATTCAATAAGGAAGTGAATACATCATTCACATCTAAGAAAAAAGATTGCTGAAGCGAATACGTAGCAGCAAGATGTACAACATAACTGGATGATTGAAGACTTTGGTGGAGTAAGTGTAATACTGTGCGTATGAGATCCAAATCTAAGAATATCTCTCAAGACAACTATCTGCGTTATATATATATATTTTTTTTTAGAAAATTACGTTACTAACATCTTAATATTAACTGAAAATCGAAGCGACCTCATTGAATAAGCTTGGAAGATGAAATTTTAATCCTAAAAAACTAAAAATTTTTTCATTGTTAACTCATGCAATAACCTCGCAGTTACACACGGTTGATAACAATTAACACACAAGTACATCGGTGTATTACATAAATATAAAAGATAACGCAACATCTACAGGAGAGAACGAATTGCAAATGAATCAACGACGAACATTTCGTACTACATGTTTGCATCTGAAAGAGAAAAATCTTGAAGGAAATATATGTGATTATATCAAATAATAGTTCAGTTATACTTCGACATGCAGAATATTAGGAACAATTAATGCTCTGATTTATATATTGTGTATGTTTGATGTTTACTCAACCCTGGATAACTAGCCAAGCGAATTCAAAAAAATTTAGCACATCAAACATGCATGAATTGAAGATGCTTTAGATTAATAACAGATTTAAAAATTGACTTCGCAAGAAATAACGAAATATGGGCAAAAGCAAGTTGCATCATTGATAAACAAACAAATAACCAAAGACACAAACAAACAAACAAGTATAAACTACGTTAAAAGAGAATTAACACTTTTACTTGTAAAAAATGAAGGACCAGATATGAAAAGACAAGTAATTTGAAGGACTTGAAACTAACAAACTCGAAAGTTATCAAAAAATTATATTTTGAATATCTGTGGCAAATGAAGCTATCTCAGATATCAATTCCTCTTATATGATGTCTGGTGCTTCATATTCCAATTTATTGTTAAAGGAACTTTTATTATTTGTCCTTCAAAACCATATATTATCATTTAACCAACCTTTTTCCCGTCAAAATATTGTTCAAAGCATTTCCTAATATTTAACACGCCCTTCTTCCTACCATCTCAATTACATCAACCGGAAGTACGTCTGCGACTCAAGCAAAATGACACTCCTTCATTTAGAAAAAATCATCGTTCCCGACGACTTCGCCATGACTTTTGTCAAGAACAAGCATCGTTCATGAAAACCATACGTAGCAGAAATTTCTTCAACTTTCAATCTCCAACTGAATCCCGATCAGCTCGGAAAGAAGTCGCACAGCTTGCTCTGCCGAAATCTAAAAAATATAATGACACAGTGAACTACTATTCGCTGTGAGTATAATATTTCTCATACAACAAGAAGAAATAGCTATATACAACCACCTTAAAGCAGTCTTGCATGTACCTCAATTTTCTATATCTTTTTGTGTCATTTAAGACGTTAAATGGTCAAAAAACATCAAATAGAAACTGACAGATAGATCTGTTATTTGATTTGTTAAATGCGAGATCGGATGAATTCAACATAAGGTAAGGGAGATATTCTAGTATGTGTTGTGAAACTTATGTGCAGAATGGAGATAAAGTCCTTATTAAAAAATATGTTAATTCAGTCTCTTTAACGCTCAACTACTTCTAGATATCCTTAAATAAGTATGGCAATCAGAGAGGAATTGCACTGAGCATAAAAGAGTGGTATCAAAAACAAACTCTTCCTGGATTGGTTTGGGTGGAGGCATCACAGCATTCCGAATGTTCTGCTTCAGTACCAATATCGCGCGCCAGATTCCATGATGCATCATATGTATCGGTAGATTTTTCCTGAAGCGGCAGGAGAGCCTGAACAAATAAATTTGAAACGAAACAAAAAAAAAGAGATATCCTGAAAATTCAGAGGTATCTTGAAAAGTATCTTGAAAAAAAGAGGTATCGAGAAAATTGAAGAAAATTTTGGAAATTAATGGAATCGTAATTGTAAATTTGAATTTGAACAACCGAAATTGAAACGATATCCAAACTTTTAATCTGTAGATAAAATCTGAAATGTTTATAAAACAAATTACCCTAGTTTTAATAAAATCAAAAGGCGTACCGCATTCTGCATCGCATTCATATTCCAGCCCGCATCGCTATCATCTGGTGTATTGCTTGCACTCGACGGCACTTCATCGACAGGTTCACTGGGCGGTTGTGAGAAAGCTTGATGCGGTGCAAAGGACGGTACTGGAGGTGCAACCACCAATGGATTTTGATGATAAGCAATGAAACCAGGTGCTGGCGGGAAACCAGGAACAGGGCTAGACGCTGCTGCAGCTGAAGCTTGGGGCACCATAAAGTAAGGGCCGCCGGATACTGGAACACGACCGGGAGTCAGGATTAACTGGGACATTTGCATTTGCATGCTCATGTTGACCAAATGATCGAAAGAATTGACCAGAAGCAAAAACGGACTCTGGAAATCAACTTTCGAAAAACTCTCTTTAAGAAGAGACTCTCACTCAATGTGTCACTATTTATAAAAATGGCCAGGCCGATCTCAGTGCTCCACAATTCTCCCAAAATGCTAATATGATTTCACAAAATAAAGAATATTTGCGAAATTATGATAAAGTGTTTTCTTTGTGGAATTTCAAAAAGTAAAAATTTCTGAAATAAGATCTTTGGAATCTTCACCTGTCCGTTACTATAACGTGTCCATTCGGCAAGCGTATGGAAACGATCTTCGTTTTTCGTACGAATAAGCATGGTATCTGTGAAATAACCGGTTTTGCACCATTTCTGCATTTCCACGGATGAATACGGACCTAGGATTTATTAATAAATATAGCTTTTGATAAATAAGAAATTTCCTCCCAGTCATTCAAAACTACATGGAAGTTCATTGAAAAATCTCCTACCATAAACACGACGATCTTCTCCTTGATAAAACCATTTCGGACTGCTCAAAACGTCACGATTCGGATCCATTCTTGGAAGACGAAATGTTGAAAAACTTGACCACATTAATTTCCGAATATTTTCAACAACAATTATTTCTACGTAAACATACCACGCACACAGCAAAAACAATAAGGTTGGATTTGAAGAATATCAAAACACACTAAATCCTAATCAGTCACGACCAGTGAATTGTAATCAGTATAAATGAATAATTAAGTAAATCAATTCATAAGCCTAATTTATGAGGCTGATGTTCCACAGTGTCTAACCTACTTAATCTATATTCAACTTTTTCATAGCTATGTTGTTTTTCTCCCCTTTTGGAATATCCTTCACGACACTTTAATTCAGAAATGCCAAAATTTTTGGAACTAAATCGTTCAATTAATAAGCAAAAAAATTGTTTGCGAAATGAATCATATTAGTTTTGCTCGCCTTGTCCCTTAATTCACAAGAGTTACAGATTTATTCAGCAGTAAGAACAAACCAAAGCAAATTTGAAATATCATCAGATATTTCGTTAATTCAAGTTAAACCCACTCGTTGAGCCTAATCTAAAATAAGTAAGATTATTCGTTCAACAGATGCTGGTTGTTCCAGCCTAATCAAAATGGATATTATCATAGAAAAAAAATGACATTGCTGAAACAGAGATAAGATCCAGCAAAAATTTGGTATTAATTAAATAATTTTCCTCTCTGATCTAAATCATTACTTTTCCAGCATAAGAATCATCGTAAATGAACGAGAAAAAAATTGATGCTCATCAGTTTATTGAAGAATAGCAAAGTTTGAAGAATACAAAGAATCTCTCATAGATAGATCAGTGGGAGGATGGTGATGATGATGTATTTCGGATACATTGATCGAAGGAGGATAAGCAAGAGGACGAACAGATAGATGAATATTGAGAGGAAGAGATAACACATTTCTTGATGTGTAATAAACAATCACTATAGATGCTTGTCCTTCGTTTGATACTTATTAATTATGAAATAAATTAAATAAAATGTTCAAGTTTTTAATTGTCATCCTCTTCATGACCAATTTCAAAATGTAAAAAGCGCGTAAGAAAGTGAGATTATAAATAAAAAAAAGAGAAAGAAAAAAGTTCTTTAGAGACGCTTGCTATTAAGGGTTTAAAACACGGAAATCAAGACCCTTCAAAAGACCATCTCGTCTTCTTGAATTTCCATTTCAGTCATTTTCCAACCTCTTCATTCTTTTCCCAAGGAATAATATGTTCAAAAAATGACCGCAACTTCTCATCTCACTTACTTCTTCCCAAAAGTAAACTACCCAAATTAATGTTATTTTCCCTGGACCTTTTCTTTTCTATCAATCATTAAAATCCATGCAATCATTCGTAGCGAAGAACTCAAATGAACAAATCCCCACTATTTAATGCAAAATCAATGTGTGAAGCAGTAAATGATATCAATTCCCGAATTTAGTGAAGGCATGCATGCCTGCAAGAATTGCAAAACACATATTTTGGCATGCATCCTGCTAAAAGTGCTACAGTTATCACTCACAACAATTTGGCAATTCTTATATTAACTTTGCAGACATTGGAGTTTTGCAAATCCTGTAATGCTTTTTTAAAGATAGCAAACAAAACAGGTAAGTCTCGTTCACGGAAATACTGAGGCCAAGGAAATAAATGCAAAACGCATGGTGTCCTAACAAGGATGCTGATTAATTAATATGCAATCCACGATATCTTCCATATTAAATGCATCAAGATGTCCGCAATTCCTGAGAAAACCAATGAAACCCGTTATCATTCGATTATCTTCGATATTTCAAGTCTACGGGATGCATTCAGGTCCAGATGGGTTGTCATACTTGAGAAATATGAAAAGTTACTATTCCTGTTGTACAAACATTTATGATTATCGGTTCGTTTAATTTATTCTGGCTGTAGCTATGACCTATTTGATAGGTTATAACCCCTTCGAGAGCCAAGACCTGCTTGGTAGGCCATTAATAACAGGATGAGTGAGAAACCGGCAGGGACAAATCTAAAACAATCCCAATGGACCCCAAACAACAAACACACTAGCAACACAACCAAACTACACAAAAATTGATATAAAATCCCAAAGCAAGAAATCACGCGGGTAGCGTTAAGCAAATCAGTAAATCTCAACTAATATGGTTTCTTTTTTTTCTGGGACTAGGGGATAAGGAAAATAAAGATAAGCGGCGGCGCAAATTGCCCTTTCACTTTGATGATTTTACCAGTCGGAATACACAATGGAATACTATCACTAGGTATAATTTGTGGAATGGAATGATTGATTGAAAATACAAGGAGTGAAATAAAGTGTATTGTATTTAAAGAGAGCACAAAAACTGATAAAAATAGGAATGAGAATAGTATGTATTACATTTGGAGAGAATGGAAAGATTGATAAGAATGATTTGTTATATTATCCTTTTAATTGTTATCGTTTTGTTTCATTTATTAAGATACGTTTTTTTTTTTTTTTTTATGGCGCTATAATGTGATCAACGTGATATTATATTGTGATATTGAAATATGATATTTCATCAATTTTTATTTTAAAGATGGCCAATCTTGATATATCGGGTTCATCATCGACTACTGGAACACCTCGTCGTCATCCTGTAAATGGTCGTGAAGAACGTCCAGTGTTTGTTTGCTTTTTTTCTCGTTTATTTTGTAAATTTTCCCTTGAATATCGAAATATCTTTCGTCTTAATGACAAGCTTAGCATTTTTCTTTTCTTTTTTTTTTTTATTTCTGTATCGGTAAATGATGCAATGCTTAGCAAACAAAATTTGATTGGCAAAATGATTTTCCTTCTTCTTTTTTCCTGCTAACTAAACCATTTCATGTAATGTATTTCGTATAACATAATGTTTTTTATTTGCAGAAAAACTGATTTCCTTTGTCGTGTTAAATATAGCAATGCACTGCCGGATATACCATTTGATACAAAATTTTTAGCATGTCCATTTGTTTCCTTAAGCAGGTTAGTTTGAAATTTGAATTAAACATGAAATTTGGTACACATGGATTATCAGTAGTGGATTATTTTCATCTATTCACATTATTTTTTGCATAATTTCACTTCAGGCATAGCTTACTCATTTTTTTGTTTTATTCATTTATAATGCTTTTTGCTTCATTATTTTGCTCCTTTTTTTGTTGTGTTTGTTAATCGAATAAAAAGTGGAAGTTTTTTTTTATATACGTAATGAATTTAACGGAGGGGAAGTGTTTTATTGTTGGAAGGTTACAAATCTTTCTCTCTCTCTCTCTCTTTCTCTGTTTAAAACACTTTTCTTTTTAGATTCACTGATTACAAGTCGTCTAGTTTGGAGAAAAATTTCAAATTCGAATTACTCTGTGAACCAGACTGTGGCGTTAATATTGATCTCATCAATCCAGAAACTTATTATGTTGATCCGGATAACCCGAAAAAGGTATTTGTGTTTGTTTCTTTCTGCTCAAAGATATTCTTTGACGGTGATTGATTTTATGTTACAATTAGCAATTAATTTCTAGTGACAATTAAAAACAATGAGATGAAGCATATACGGATATTCCTGAATAGGTACATTTAAGGTGTATTTGTGATGCATTTAATAGGTGTAATTTACATTCGTAATCTTAACGTGCTAAGTGTTACTTGCTGAAAGTCGTTGTTTAATGCTTGAAATTCTAGTTTAAAATGATTGAGGGAAGGAAATTGAGATTTATAAATTGAATTTAGGATTTTGTTGATTCTATTGAAAGCTTACTGTTATAGCATCATCCCATTGATCTGGAACTTCTCGAAGATGAGCAAGCAAATCCTCAAAATTTACGCAGGTTTGCATATTTTTCATTGAATTATATAGTTTTTTATTTGTTTCATTCTACTTATGATTGCTAGGAGCATATGCTTCCTTTTGAAGATCCTTGCAACATAGTAAAATGGTGCCGTGGATGAGGAAAACGGAATATATCAGTTCGGAATTTACGAGATTTGGTGTTTCAGCTGAAAGGCAAGAAACAAGAGTTAGTTAATTTTTTACTGCATTTTATTTGTTAGTTAATGTTAGTGTTGGTTAGTTAGTTAATGTTTTACTGCATTTTAGCCTTTACTATTCTATACTTCTAATTTATTTGACATTTTTCATGGTTATCTCCTTTTTTCTTTATTTTTATTCAGATCTCTATCTACTTTTTACGATCATAGAGTTCCGAACACATTAAATATTTTGAACAAATTTTCAGATTGGCTATAGCACGAAGAAAAAATTCCAAACGGACGTGTTGTACAGAGATCGAACATCACAAATTGCAGCAATTAATAAGACATTTGATGATGTAAGTACATTTGCCGATGTAAAGTATACGATTGCTTTCGAAAAAGTTGATCAAATTTTAATGATCATTTGTTCGATTCATTCAATATTTCATAAAGTGTCGATAAGTTAACGATTTACTTCTATGAAGAAAAAGAAAAAAAAGTCGTATAAAATATCTTTTTCAGGCATCGAAAACAGTATTGCAGCACCCAACGAAGAAAGGTGTAACGGCTGTTGAGGAATTACCACTGTTACCAGATTTCGATGTAAGTTTTACTGTCTATGGAAGTACTGTTTTTGACAGTTTTGGTATGCATATCCCTGTAATAGTTTGAACTTCTACCTGTACTTATAATCTATATGAGAATATGCATAGTACTGTGGTAAGACTAATACTGAGTTATATAGCAAAATGATAGAGGAGTGACATCATTGATTTGTTTTACATAAAATTGTTAAATTTGTTAGTTCCTTTGAACATGTAGGATGTAGGTTTTTATTCCAATGAATTAAAATGAAAGATGATAAGTGACAATTATGCAAAAGTTTTTACGGATTTAAAAAACTCTTTTCAGAACTGGATGCATCCCTTTGCACTTGTTGTTTTTGATGGTGATCCAATACCACAAAACGATAAAGTTGATGCACAAACGCTAATGCCGCAGGCACTAATACGGTATTTTTTCGGGATTCTTTCTGGTTTACATTGTAGTCCACTTTAGCTGGTGTTTTTGGGTAAGCTTTCGTTTCAAGAAAATTCCTTGACTAAATTTATATTTAAATAAACTTCAGGTATTTATATGTTTCATTTTTATCGAGTTATCAATTTCGATTTCACGGTAGTTGTGCATTAATAATGCGTTTTTCTCCCATGAAATTCGGTTCATTTTGGAAGTTAACTGACTGCTAAATATCGAAATGCTTTGGGTTACGCGTTTCACAACTTTATGTTTATCTAAGAAATATGTTCTCATATGTTTCCTAGTAAAAGCCAAGTGTTTGCTACCAACGACAGTTGATTGTCAAAATAATCAGATTGGTGATAACCTTCCCCAAAACATATTTATATCACCATTTGGAAGAACTGGTGAACTAAATGATTAATGAGTAATATTGACAAATAAACTGCGATTATTTTCAGTGGTATGATGGACGAAGAAGGTGAGCAGTTCGTTACATATTTCCTGCCGTCTAAAGAAACCTTGGATAAACGTTTAAAAGATGCAGAAGATGGTCTTGAATTTGATTCTGATTATGTGTAAGTTGGAAATTTATATATTAGCTGCTTTAAAAACACTAAAAACTCGTTGTAACTCGTTGAAAAATCTAAAATACAAATCTACTTAGAAGTAATGTTTTTTAAGCATGCACATCCGTTACTGATGTCTGTTTTCTTCGGAAAAGTGACTGTTTTCATTACAAACAATTTGTCATCCAAATTGTGGATCGTATTAGAAATTAAAATTACTTTGATGTTTTAAATCAGAGCTTTCAAAGTAATTCTGATTAAAAATAGTTACATATGGGACTCACATTTATCTCTTTTGATAACATAATTTTCCAGCTATGAATATCAGTCAGTTCGGGATTATAATTGGTTGGTAAGAAATAAATCAACAAAAGGATATGAGCAAGATAATTTCTTATTTACAATTCGTGATGGCGCCGTTTACTACAATGAACTTGAAACCAAAGTTTCGTTAAATCGACGGAAAACCAAACGAATCAGGGTGAGATCTCGATTTATGCAAGTATTTTGTGACGGGAATATAAGTAGGAAGGGAAAACAAATCGAGGATGGAAAATTAAGATTCTTTTTATTGTTAATATAGCTGATAATAAATGTATTTGACATGGATTACCAGAACTACGTGGTGTAGTACATTACCTTATTAGTAAGACAACTGCATACATTGATATTCCGAAAGAGGCTTACGTTATCAAGCATTAAATTGTTTTATTTACTTCATTTATTAATTAGGCAATTAGTGGTTCGGATTGTTTAACATTTGTATTGAGAAGCATATGTCAGCATTTTCTTAGCTTATTTGAAACTTTTAGGACTTTTTTTGTTGTCCTCAGGCAGTGGTTAGATGTTAAATGACAAGGAAGCGAAGTGATTCGTAACGAATTGAAAAGTAGAGTGGACGATGCTTTTGATAGTTAATATGGGAAGGGAAAAGTTATGTGACATGATTGGGGAATATTATTGAAAATATTCAACTTGAATTTATCGACTGCTGTTGCTTTCGAACAATCTTTTTAACTTAAATTTCAGCAAGAAACAAAGTTGATGGTACGGAATCGTGCATACGACGAGAATGAGTTGAATGCACAGGTGAACCAACTTGATTTTTGTTTCTTAGGTTTTTGATTCCAAAAAATAAATTGTTATGTGATATGTATTGTTAGTCTCGTCGACAGTCGACATGAGCATTACGAAATGTTCTGAGGCAAGAAGGAACATTTATTCCCAAACTTCAAGAACATATTTTTTGCATATAGTGGAGGTAGTGAATCGAAAAATAATGCAGGACAAAAGCACTTGACATGATTATATTCGGATCTTAATAATATGTAAGAATCGTATTAGAAATTGCAACTTCTTTCTGATATTGACTTAGTTTCTTTTGATGGTTTTCACTATTTTAAAAAATTGTTGCCAATAGTTTATGTGTAGTTATGATGTTAGTAATATTTGGTATAATGTCGATAACAAAGCGATGATTGAACTTTCCCTTTAATTAATTTCAGCAAGAACGATTAAATAACCTATTGCATCCATACGATGAAAAAGATGACGAAGGTAAATTTTTTTTTTTGTTCCATTTTCTTCTTTCCAATTACTACTTTTATATTATTATATATGCAACAAGATTATTCCAATTTCCACTTAATTATATGCTAAAATTATTTGATTATACGCTTGTTCGTATTTAGTTATATTTGCGCATTATTTGAAAATAAAGTCCTTTTCATTCATATTACGTAAATATTTACGTTTCCGTTAATCACGACAATTTTGTTTGAGGCCGTTTTCGCGAAGTTTCCAGTTAGCTATGCTTTTAGGTTTTTTTCCGCTTATATATTGCGATTTCGAAACATTTAATTTGTTTTAACTAATTTTTTTTTTCTCATGTACATAAGCAGTTAGATACTTGCAGATGCAAGTAAATGTGCAAGAGGCACATGTAACAGTGTAAATGCAATGCTATAGAATTGTTTGTATATTTATATTTTACATAGTATAGTACTTGTTATTTAAAATGGAAACTAAGCGCACGCATTTAGTAATGTCAGACTAGTTTATCATTTATTAAGAAATGCTTGCTATATTTTGGATTGATTACCTTTACTGCTAGAGGACCGACAAAAACAGGACACATAATCTTTGTAAACATTTTGTATATTAGGACCAGTAAGTATTTGCACAAATAGGTATTTGTATACTACTTGAACGGTATTATAAACACAGTAGTACAGTTATTAACAATTACCGAAGACAATTTGAATATTTGGAAATGAAAAAATGAAACATTTGGGTTGACCATGACATTTGATAGTTTTGATTGAAAAAGTAGAAAATATATGGGAAATGCTTGATATTTCAAGTCTAACAGTAAAAGGTTGCCTGAGGAACAACCTCTCCTGTTTTCAAATCGTTAATTTGCAAAAATTTCAGATATTTCAAATTTCAGATATTTCTATCAATCAAATAGATGAGAACAAAAAATCTAATAGGATATTTTATGATCACTCGTCAATTTTGATACTTTTTTTTTCCTTATTTATAAATCGTTTGTTGTGAAACACAGCATACGAACACTTCATTTTTTTGTTCCTAAAATAAATTGAAATTGAATTGTTGGCCAAAATTTTGAAATATTCGATATTCAGTAATCAGAAAATGACATTTTTTAGAATTGATATTATGGACAAAAATAGTTCCCTCTTAAATTTGAAACTCATTGCTGTGTATGTGTGTGTGTGTGTCTGTGTGTGTGTGTATGTGTATGTATGTGTGTGTTAATAACTCTACCATTTACAATACGATATGGCTTATTTGTTTTATTAAGGAGATTTTGCTTTCTTCACTTTCTGTCTATTCATTCATATTCACTCATTCATCCATTCATTCATTCCTACTTAAAATCCTTACTATCTATCTGTCAATATGAATTAGACATAATAAAATATCATAAAATGTGAATGCATGCTGTGAATTAAGAATGCATGCTGTGAAATGAGGAGACGAAGAATTTCAATAAATTCATAACAAACAATGAAATAAAATGGTTGAGTTGAAAATGATGGAAAAGTATTTCATAAATTATTTCGAAATTTAATAAAATATTATTTAAATTTATCTGGTGATATTTTCACATTGAATACTTTTCTTTAGATGCTTGAATAGATTAACTAGTTGTAAATAATTAAATATTTGCACTTTACAAGTTGAATATAATAAAGGTGAAATAAAAGATTTTTATTTTGTTTCATCCTCATCTATTCTCTTGTATTTCTATTCTACACTATTGTTCTTAAATGTAGTTTGGGAGGAAGAAGAAGAAGAAGATTGTAATAGAAGGGAAGAGGATTCGTAATAGTATTTGAAATATGAGAGAGATGAAATAGATTTGATGATGAACTCCTTTCGGATTTGGTTGTCTATTGTATTTATTTAGTAAACATAGTAATGTCCCCGTATGCGTGACATCTGCTAATTGTGCTTTCGGTGCTTTCGCTTGAAGCTTACTTTACTCAAGTATTGTTGTTATTCAATCTGAAATATATATATACATATATATATACATATATATATATATATATACTGAGGATACTGATTGAAAATAAGAGAGAAAAGGAAGAGAAGGAAAGAATGATAAAAGCATTGAAAAGAAAGATTAGTAATAAGTGCAAATAGATAGATTATCTTTTTCCTGCTCAATTGATGTAACAAAGATATATTGATATTTGTTTATGCAAATTATAAGTAAACATATATGCTAATTACCCATTGAATTGTGATGATAAGCACATAAGATATGATGATAATATAATTAATTTCAAATATTAAATATTATGATTTTTTTTTTCAGTGAAATAATATCTCTTCATTTTCTTACAACATTTGTCTATTTAATAAGCATTTAATTTGTTTGCATTTACTTTACTTATAATTTAGGTGTTTGTATGTAGGACATTTTAAAATTTCCAATGATTGGAATAAAATTTAAAATATGAAATATATGACTGAAATCTTTGCGTAAATTTGTTTGTTTGTTATAAATTTTAAAATTATAAGCAGTTATATGATTGCATTTGATTTACTTATAATATAGGTATCTTACTTGTAAATTACTTATTTACTCATAAGCAGTTATATGTTTCAGCTATATATAAGCAGCTATTCATTTTGAAATTATATGGAAATTTGTTTTTTTTTTTTTTTTTTTAAGGATCTGAGCAAGGTTCAAGTGAAGGGAGTGAGCGAAGTCATGAAGATGAAATAGTAGAGGAAACAAATAAGAAAGACGATGATAATGATGGCGATAATGATGATGATGATGATGATGAAGAGGAGGAGGAAGAGGACGAATCAGATAATGAGACAAAACAAGGTCTTATCATTTTTCTTGACTTACTTCTCCCTAGATTGATTGATTTAAAAAAGATTATATGGAATAATTTGGCAGGTGCATCATTGATCCCTTTCTTCTTTGAAGCAACCGTTGACACAGCTGTCCGATATCAACTATGGTCATTATCTGTATAAAACGAAATGCGGTGCATTAAATTGAGTGGTTCTGATGATTTTAATTTTTCATAAGTCATGATGGATTTTCAGGTTTAAAAGTTAATAATGCAAGTAGTGGTGAAGAGGAAAAGGAGGATGATTTAGCATCAGAAGATACGAAAAGTGATGATAAGAATGGTGATGGCGACGACGATGTGCATGATAGTAGTATGCTTGGAAGCGATGATAAATATAGCAGTAATAGTAATAATAATAATAATAATAAAAATGAAGATGTTAATAATGATGATGAAGATGATGATGATGATGATGATGATGATGATGATGATGATGATGATGATAATGGTAATGAGGTTTCTGGGAAAAATGGTTCTAGTAGTGGAGATGATGCTGCGGATGATAATGATGATGATAATGATGATGACGATAATGACGATGATGATGATGATAATGATGATGATAATGATGATGATGACGATGATTAGGCTTATTGTTAGTGTGGTGTTTATGTCTGGCGCTATATTAATTTTCGTCCTTTGTTGAATTTGTTTGAATATTTAAAGATTAATGGTCAGAGTGAGAATTTGAAGATTACACTTTTTTTCATACCTCTGTGGTCTGTTTTTGTTTGAAATGTGGCTTTTTTTTTCAAAATTTGAAAACTGTTCATAATGCGAATAAACTTTCAGTTAATTAATGCAAAATATTGGACATTTGAACACTGAATACTATAAACACTACTACAAAAAACAATTTTTTAATAATGAATTTTTACAAATCTTCATTCTCAATTTTCAAATCACTAGATTGGTTTAAAATTTAGTTTAATTGAAATCCTGAAATTAATTTTTGCTCATACTCTATACCCGAAATGCGAAATTTATTTTGCATTCATCTCTTGAATTTAAATGATTTGAGAGCTTTGCATCATTTTAAAGTTGTCTTAAATTTGTAGAAATTTCAAAATTCCAGTTTTTCATTCATCGAATTTTGTCAATAAAGATTTCGAAATTTGAGGTTGCCTGATTTTCAACACTGATGAAGCTTAAGTAAATAATCTACGGTTTCAATCACTTTATGATTCATTGACTTAATCAATACTGCAACACCTGGCAACTTATGAAATGCATAAGACTTCGGGCTAACATGTAAGCTCTACGTTGATCGAAAATTTTTCTTGCATCATTAAAAACTATTAATAAAATTTTTAAATCGATATCAATTCTATCATATTATTTTTAATAGCTGAGTGAATTTCATCCTAAATCATTCCTATCTGTTTATATATCAAATCAATCCGATTTCTTTCCGGATATTTATTAAATTGATCCGGAAAAAAGAAAAACTTTTCGGTATTAAATTTCTTTTATTTTTATTACGACGATCAAATGAATTCCAATTTATCATATAGTAAATATAAATGACTTTATTAAATGTTAATTTAATTCATTCTCCTACTGAGCTTATCATTACTTTTTTTTTTATCAGTCTTATTAAATCGAAAAATTCTTGTAATAATTTCGAAATAATCATCAAACAATTTACTGTAATTTACTGTTTAATATTAATGTAGTTGATAATGATATCATAGTATTTGTTTTTGATAATATGTTAATTTTTGATAAACTCTTCCTTTTTGTTAATTTAAAATAGCAAACAAGGAAGGATCACTTCTTTTGTAAATTGATAATTATAAATTAATTGTAATCTATATTTATACTTAGTGTTCGTTCGTTTTTTCACTCGAATCAAAATAACCGATTAATTAATTAATTAATTAATTAAATCAACAATATTTGATCATTATCCCTATTTTTTTAAAACATCTCTATAAATGATTGATATTTTTTTTTCCTGCAATGATAACAATGCTCTATAAAATGTTCAAATTTAAACTAGCATTACTTTGTAATTAACGAATAAAGTGAAGCTTTATTAATTAATTTATAAATAATACGAGACAATTATTTTTATAATCAAACAATAAAAAAAAACATTTTTATGTAAACTAATAAAAATTTAATTTCTTAATATAATTGCAATTAATAGTGAATAAGTAAAAAATAATAGCAGTGCTTTTTCGTAATAATTGAATGATTATTTATTATATAATCGATATCATCAATAAATTTAAGTTGTTTGAATTTAAATTTAAAAAATTTAAAATATTATATAATGATTGTTTATTTATTTAATTTCCCTACTCCATCATAACATATATTAATAAATTGATTGATTTATTCATTTCCATCTTATCGCTTTTAAAATTAGATAATATTATCAGATAATATTATCGATCATATATATATATCAATGAATTGATTAATTTTTTCATTTCTATCTTATCACTTTTGATATATATATATACATAACTCTTTTTTTTCAAACTCTTTTCAAATTCCTATTAAATATTTAAGTTCATTTCTATTAATAATAATATTTACTCATAACAAATAATATTAATTCCAATTTTTTAAAGAGATTCTTTCTTTTAAAATTAAATAATATTATTGCTATTTTATCAATGAGACATTATTTCAAGAATTATTAATATAATTTCCTTCTTCTTCTTTTCTCAAACTCTTTTCAAATTCCTATTAATTATTTAAGTTCATTTCTATTAACAAATACACTGATCAATGATTTGGGATAATAAATAGATGAAATGGGATATATAAGAGATCCAATGAAATGATGCATATATAACACCTCAATTGTAATAACAATAATAATGCAATTATTTCCTACTCATAACTTTATGTGTGTGTGTGTGTGTGTGTGTGTGTCTGTCTGTCTGTCCATGTCTGTGTGTCCATGTCTGTGTGTCCATTTATCAATCATGTTCATGTGGTTCTGCTTGTTTTGTCCATCTCTATATTATCAACCTTCAAAATGAGGTTATTGACCAAAATAACTTACCATAAATTTATTTTAAAATATTATCCATATTTATCTCATACACTAAATTCCTTTCTTTCTTTCTTTCTTCCTTTTTTTTCTTTTGGCCAATAATATGATAAGAAAGAAATTGTTGATTGATAATTTATTTGATAAGAATCAATGATTTGATTTTTTTTTCTCCTCTCTCTCTCTCTCTCTTTTCTCTCTCTCCCTCTTTTCACTTTAATTATTCGATTAATTTTTTCTTTCCCTCCTAATATTGAACGGAGAAAGCAAAAAACCTTAACATCATATATTTATTATTTTGGAAATTTTTCATTTAATTATTGTGCGTAAAATTAATCAATTCCTTTTAGAGAGTTAAATTATCAATTATCACTAAATTGGACATTGAAAGAGATGTTTTTGCTGTTTGAAATTTTATAGAGTTATGAAATTCCGTAAATTTAAAGGGCTGAAAAGAAATATTTAAGATATTAATTACTTCAATCACATCTAAATTGTAATTTAATTAGTGATATAAACATAAGTGATAGAACTATTTCAGATTTCAAGCGATTAATTAATTACAACGGATAAATGTGACATATGTTAGAGCACCAATTATAATTGTGTAATAATAATAATAATAGTAATAATAATAATAATAATAATAGTAATAATAATAATAATAATAATAATAATAATAATAATAATAATAATAATAATAATAATAATAATAATAATAATAATAATAATAATAATAATAATAATAATAATAATAATAATAATAATAATAATAATAATAATAATAATAATAATAATAATAATAATAATAATAATAATAATAATAATAATAATAATAATAATAATAATAATAATAATAATAATAATAATAATAATAAT